TGAAGAAATCAGGATCGAGGAACATGGTTCGCTTGCATCGATCCATCACCACTAACCCATCTTCACACAGACGGCTCCGACAGTAGAGAGTGGGCTGTAGAAAGCTCTCACGAAGCCTTAAGCAGCTTTTTCGGCGCCCTTACGACGGAACTGGGGGCATTACGCTCGTCGGACAACCTATCCCAGAACCATGTCTGGCAGTCTGCACATCTCGTCAGCGAGACTCCAGGTGTTGTAAAAGCTTTCCACGCGCTGAGCCGGCTTCCCAGTATGTGGATAACAAAATCGTTCAATTTTCTGACTGACGTGCGCAAGTGTTTCTGTGACGAAGTAAGTACACCCGTTTCGCTAGTTCTTGTCGTTCGCACAGCCAACTTCGAGCAGGAAGTCCAAAATTACATCTGGGCCATCGTCCACCAGTGGGAAGAGATTACTCTGCAGTGGAACGACAAGGTGGTGCCATGTGTAAACATCAAGTCCATAGACTCACTGCAGTCTCTAGCTCCGCGCTTCTCTGAGAACGACCGAGACCTTATCGAGCGCCGACTCCAGGAAAGGCTGATCTTTCCCCGACTCGAGGACCCTGCACTTCGAGAGAAGGTAAAAATGGCGATCCGTCGTCAAGGTCCCATCTTAACGCTAAGTACCTTTGCCAAAGACGTGCGATTACTACAGTCAATGGTGCGTGAGCCTATGACGAAACTCTTAATCGGTATGTACAGAGAAAAGGAGGACACGTTGCGAAAAAGGATCGTAGATATTCTCGAACGCGAGTTTGACGAACTGACCTCCCCTGGCCGTCTTTCCACAGCCATTCGCGGGCAGAAGAAAGCGATCGTCGAGCGTTGTTATCAACACGTCTTCCTCTACACAATCCGCAGTGCACTTCCCAAAGGCTCCGTCACCCGAGCACAGCTCAGTAGCCTCGTGAAGCAAGAGCTCAGTTCTCTGTATGCGGATGGTACATCCGGTAGTTCGACCGGGCGTGCGGAGGGCATAGCGACAAAAGCACCGGCCTTGTCACACATGCCTCAATCTGAACACGTCGCCGTCGCAAAGAGACATGGTGTTTTGCTTTTCAAAGATTCCGCGGCTACACAGCATTTATACAGCCATGAGATAAACAAGAGTCTTA